CCGTCATCACCACACACCATTTTCACCACCATACACCACCGTCACAACCACACACCACCACCACCACCGTCACCACCACACACCACCGTCACCACCACACACCACCGTCACCACCACACACCACCGTCACCACCACACACCAACGTCACCACCACACACCACCGTCACCACCACACACCACCGTCACCACCACACACCACCGTCACCACCATACACCACCGTCACAACCACACACCACCACCACCACCGTCACCACCACACACCACCGTCACCACCACACACCACCGTCACCACCACACACCACCACACACCACCGTCACCACCATACACCACCGTCACCACCACAAACCACCACACACCACAGTCACCACCACACACCACCGTCACCACCACACACCACCGTCACCACCACACACCACCGTCACCACCACACACCACCGTCACCACCACACACCACCGTCACCACCACACACCACCGTCACCACCATACACCACCGTCACCACCACACACCACCACCACCACCGTCACGAACACACACCACCACACACCACCGTCACCACCACAAACCACCACACACTGCTGTCACCACCACACATCACCGTCACCAACAAACACCGCCGTCACCACCACACACCACCGTCACCACCACACACCACCGTCACCACCGTCACCACCACAAACCACGACACACCACCGTCACCACCACTCACCACCGTCACCACCACACACCGCCGTCAACACCGTTACCACCACACACCACCGTCACCACCACAAACCACCACACACCACCGTCACCACCACATACCACCGTCACCACCACACACCACCGTCACCACCACACACCACCGTCAACACCGTTACCACCACACACCACCGTCACCACCACACACCACCGTCACCACCACACACCACCGTCAACACCACACACCACCGTCACCACCATACACCACCGTCACCACCACACACCACCGTCACCAACACACACCACCACACACCACCACACACCACCGTCACCAACATACACCACCGTCACCACCACACACCACCACCACCACCGTCACCACCACACACCACCGTCACCACCACACACCACCACACACTACCACACACCACCACACACCACCGTCACCACCACACACCACCTTCACCACCATACACCACCGTCACCACCACACACCACCGTCAGCACCACACACCACCGTCACCACCACGCACCACCGTCACCACCACACACCACCGTCACCACCACACACCACCATACACCACCCCACACCACCACCACCACCATACACCACCCCACACCACCACCGTCACCACCACCACCACCGTCACACACCACCACACACCACCGTCACCACCACACACCACCGTCACCACCACACACCACCACCGTCACCACCACACACCACCACACACACCACACACCACCGTCACCACCATACACCACCGTCACCACCACACACCACCACACACCACCGTCACCACCACACACCACCACACACTACCATACACCACCGTCACCACCACACACCACCACACACCACCACCACCACCGTCACCAACACACACCACCACACACCACCACACACCACCGTCACCACCACACACCACCGTCACCACCACACACCACCACACACCACCGTCACCACCACACACCACCGTCACCACCACACATCACCGTCACTAACACACACCACCGTCAACACCATACACCACCGTCACCACCACACACCACCGTCACCACCACACATCACCGTCACCAACACACACCACCGTCAACACCATACACCACCGTCACCACCACACACCACTGTCACCAACACACACCACCGTCACCACCACACATCACCGTCACCAACACACACCACCGTCACCACCACACACCACCGTCAACACCACACACCACCACACACCACCGTCACCACCACACACCACCGTCACCACCACACACCACCGTCACCACCACACACCACCGTCACCACCACACACCACCGTCACCACCACACACCACCGTCACCACCACACACCACCGTCACCACCACACACCGCCGTCACCACCACACACCACCGTCACCACCACACACCACCGTCACCACCACACACCACCGTCACCACCACACACCACCGTCACCACCACACACCATTTTCACCACCATACACCACCGTCACAACCACACACCACCACCACCACCGTCACCACCACACACCACCGTCACCACCACACACCACCGTCACCACCACACACCACCGTTACCACCACACACCAACGTCACCACCACACACCACCGTCACCACCACACACCACCGTCACCACCACACACCACCGTCACCACCATACACCACCGTCACAACCACACACCACCACCACCACCGTCACCACCACACACCACCGTCACCACCACACACCACCGTCACCACCACACACCACCACACACCACCGTCACCACCATACACCACCGTCACCACCACAAACCACCACACCACCACAGTCACCACCACACACCACCGTCACCACCACACACCACCGTCACCACCACACACCACCGTCACCACCACACACCACCGTCACCACCACACACCACCGTCACCACCATACACCACCGTCACCACCACACACCACCACCACCACCGTCACGAACACACACCACCACACACCACCGTCACCACCACAAACCACCACACACCGCTGTCACCACCACACATCACCGTCACCAACAAACACCGCCGTCACCACCACACACCACCGTCACCACCACACACCACCGTCACCACCACACACCACCGTCACCACCACACACCACCGTCACCACCACACACCACCGTCATCACCACACACCATTTTCACCACCATACACCACCGTCACAACCACACACCACCACCACCACCGTCACCACCACACACCACCGTCACCACCACACACCACCGTCACCACCACACACCCCCGTCACTACCACACACCAACGTCACCACCACACACCACCGTCACCACCATACACCACCGTCACCACCACACACCACCACCACCACCGTCACGAACACACACCACCACCACCACCGTCACCACCACACACCACCGTCACCACCACACACCACCGTCACCACCACACACCCCCGTCACTACCACACACCAACGTCACCACCACACACCCCCGTCACCACCACACACCACCGTCACCACCACACACCAACGTCACCACCACACACCACCGTCACCACCACACACCACCGTCACCACCACACACCACCGTCACCACCATACACCACCGTCACAACCACACACCACCACCACCACCGTCACCACCACACACCACCGTCACCACCACACACCACCGTCACCACCACACACCACCACACACCACCGTCACCACCATACACCACCGTCACCACCACAAACCACCACACACCACAGTCACCACCACACACCACCGTCACCACCACACACCACCGTCACCACCACACACCACCGTCACCACCACACACCACCGTCAACACCACACACCACCGTCACCACCACACACCACCGTCACCACCATACACCACCGTCACCACCACACACCACCACCACCACCGTCACGAACACACACCACCACACACCACCGTCACCACCACAAACCACCACACACTGCTGTCACCACCACACATCACCGTCACCAACAAACACCGCCGTCACCACCACACACCACCGTCACCACCACACACCACCGTCACCACCGTCACCACCACACACCACCGTCACCACCACACACCACCATCACCACCACACACCACCGTCAACACCGTCTCCACCACACACCACCACACCCCTGCCCCCTCATCATCCCCACCATTCCCCACTCCCTTGTCTGATGCATTCCCAAATGATTTGATGTTCCCATCATAAAATTGGGAACATCAAACGATCTAATGTTCCCATCACTGAAATATAAGAAAAACAGTTAAAAAACAAAATGGAAAACAATGAAAAAATAGAGAAATAAACTATACTCAGGAAATGAACGGTATGGTAAACAACACAGCTCAATTCCAGTGCACTGACACAAAATAATTAAATCAAAATGAAAATAAATCGAAATCAGAGAAAATTCTATTTATCAATGCATTCGTGACATATTTAGTATAGCGTGTCATGCTATTATGTGCAACAGATGGCACTGTTTTTCTAAAAAAGCATGTTTTTACCTGTCGCAAGTGTGGTATCTATACAGAAGGTATATAAAAACATGTGAATATTCGAATGAAATGTGTCAAAATTCCAAAGCAATCTGTGAAGAACATTCGTGTTCAACGTGTGTCAGATTACAGCGTGTGTTGCTCTTACGTCCAACAGATGGCGCTGTTTTTCAAAAACTCATGTATTTTCCTGTCACAGGTGAGGCATTTATATAGTTGGTATATAAAAACACGCGCCTATTCGAATACAACGTTTTGTTAAAAATTCAAAGCAATTGGTAAAGAGGTTTCGAAGATTTTCCTGACATGAGCAACACATGAAAACACAGTTTAAAAAACACAAGTTTTTCCCATCACAGACGTGACATCTATATAGTATGAATATACTATATAGATGTCATATAGATGCCACTGCGAAGTGGTATGGGCAAGACAATTTTACTCAAGCTCATCCTCGAGAAGTGGGTAGAGGACCCTGCTGCCATACGTCACCTGGGCACTGTGGACCTCGTTTTCAACAACTTCCAGCTGTTCCATTTGAATGCAAATGGAACGTTGTGTGAAAATTTCAAAACAATCGGTGAAGAACTTTCTGAGATTAGCGATTTTGAACAAACGAACATTTCCATTTTTATTTACATAGATGTGCCTAGCATCAGATACAAGAATGTTACGCGATTGTCTTGAGGAGTTGAACAGAGATGACCGAGTCTCTCAGAATTATCGTGTCAAATTGGGATACATGTACTCCTTTGCCTGCGAAGTGTATGACAAACAAGTCAGTCTTTAGTGTGGAGGCCCAGTTATTTATATAAGCTCCCCACTCAGAACAGGAGCCGCATCTCGTTGCCAGGACAACTACACTTCCGGCAGCACCAGAGGAGTGGTGCAGGGAACCATCACCGTTAATAGCTTGAGAGGTTGTGAGAGTTTGATGACTGGAGGAGGGAGCCAAATCACGGTTTTCTTCACTGAACTGGACAGGTGAGCATGCCATGAGAGCATATTATATATTAATTTTGCCTGGAATTTAAATTATGGATAAAACGTGCGTTATAAAAGCACAACAGCTATTCAGTTTTACCTTTTTGTCTTTCCAGGAATTGATACAGATTTGAAAAAGATAAAAAAAAAATATGAAATCTTTTGCAGGAATACATCAGATAATTAAAAATACATTCCTAAAATATATTATCCAAAGATATATAACTAAAAAATAGTAATATAAAGAAAATTAATTAAGTTATTCCTTCCTGTTAGTGACTAAAGGGGGCATATGAATGGTTTTCGATCCAAATATGCAATAAATGAAAACTGGTTCGATTTCAATCAAACTTTTTTGACGAGTTGTATATGAAAATAGTTTCATCTGGTCCAAGTCTCAGCATCGTAGCATAAATAGGAAGGGAGAAAACAAATATTGAAATAGGTGTCAAAATTATTCCAAAATGGTAAAAAACGATTATCAAACACAAGTGTCAACTGAAATCATGTCTATGACTCTCAGCTATCACAATATCATATATTAAAAAAAATATTATAATTAGTTTTATTAAAAAAAATGTAGTTAATTTTTTTTTATTATTTTATCTCTCTTTTGTTTATCGGGCAATTTGCATGAAACTTATATACCTGACTGCACGTAAGCTTATCTGTAAGGGTGCCAATTTTAAAGGATATTGGTTGATGTCAACCTCAAGTCAAAGATGGCAACACCTTAGACTTTATTTTTTCTTATTTATTTTTAAGTAACATAAAAGTTCAAATATCTCTTTCATTTTTTATTCAATTTACATGAAACTTACACCTTATATGTAAAGCTTATGTCTCTAAAATCCCGAAGAAGCGTTTTTTCCTAAGTTTATTTATTGATTTTATAAATAGCAATAAACATGATATATTTACATAATTTTTGGGTGGAACTTTGACTATTTCTATTAGGAAAACTAGAGATGTTTTAGAAAATCACTTCCACAGATCCTTTATTTTATGCTAATGTGTCAGAAAAGTGTCATAGAATGATTATATCTGAAAGTTGTGGTTGTAAATTTAAACATGAAAATGTGTAAAATTCGTTGAAAAAAAATAAAAAAATTAAAATCTCCCTTTCTATTTAGGCTGCAGTACTGAAACCTGGAAGAATTGCAGCTCTTTTCATATACAATTAGTAAAAAAATATTGGTTGACATTGAACAACTTTCCCAAAACCCTTCAAAGCCAGAGGAGATACCAAACGGAAAGTCTTGACCTTTCTGTATGTGAACAGTAACAGATGAACCCTATTAAAATTAATACAAATATTAACAAATGTCCACAACATTTGTTGATAACTTTGTGTTCGTCTGAACCTTGAGAGGAATTTAATCCTTCATGTACAGTACGTAGAGAATTTTTTTATTCTCTACGTACAGTATCATACAGATACGTTGATGTTCCCATCAACTTATTTGCAAATTATTTAAAAAATGTAATCAACTAGACCTAGTTGAAAATCACCTGATCAACTTTTGTTCTGTTTCGATTGCTGATGTGGAACTCGACAAAAGTGGTGAGGGAAGTAACACTTGAAGTCCAGTATATCTGCCTCGACTGTGAAGACCAATATGCTGCCTGGCTCTGTTGTGAAGCCCAGTATGTCTGCCTCTGTTGTGAAGCCCAGTATGTCTGCCTCGATTGTGAAGCTCAGTATGTCTGCCTCGACTCTAAGTCTAGATACCAAACACGAAGATCTGAACAGATTCCGGTATGAACTGGCTGTGACTAAGGCAGGACGAGACGCGCTAGCAAGTGTGTTTATGTGGTCGTACCGGGGCACCTTCCCAGTAGTGACTTACCTCACTCAGGACTTGGGGTACACCAATGCTCAGTACAGGCGTGTCTTCGATGCTCACCAGAGGGATAAACTCGAAGCTTCCTCTGACGCGGCAACTTTTGACATCACTCTGTTGTATAAACTCCTGCAACGTGTGTGTGGTCTGGCTGAGATGAATGACCCCACGTGGACCACTCCAGGGCCTCAGGGACCATCACTTGAACACCTCATTTACAGCCTGAAGCAACACCGAAACACGTTGACATTTGAATATATGATAATGACAGAGCAAGACCTCAGGAATACACTGACGGAGCTCAGTGACTTATTGGCTAAGATGCTGGCTGAGGCTGGCGTCCGGTGTGGGACAAACAACCAGGATGTGGACCACGTGACCAGAGATGTCACCAAGTATATTGGTGGTCTGCTATTGAAGGTCAGAGAGCCGCTGGACCCCTCAGATGTGCAGTACTTGCCTCTACTCCGCCAGGAGATTAAGATGTTCAGAAGCCACATCACAGAAGAGGTTAAGCAGATGAGCAAGCAGGAGCTAACTGACGGGTATAAACTGCTGTACCAGATTGTTCCCGCACCCTGGCTCCTCCTCAACATTAACTACAACCCAAGTCTTGCTTTTACACGACTACGACTCCTTGAAGATCCCGTCATAGGGGCAAGACCAAGGGTCAAGTGCCAGGATGTGAACTATGAAGACATCTTGAGTATGAGACGAGAGGACGGAAGAGTCCCTGAGTGTGTCCTTCTGACGGGGGAAGGTGGTATGGGCAAGACAACTTTACTCAAGCTCATCCTCGAGAAGTGGGTAGAGGACCCTGCTGCCATACATCACCTGGGCACTGTGAACCTTGTTTTCTATGTACAGTGCAGGGACTCACATCTTAATACCTTCGATGATCTCCTCCGCCAGTCGCTACCTCAAACACTTTGTGATATTTATGTTGACTTCCAACTGTTTAAGGAGATAATCCTGAGCTTAAATATATTAGTCCTGATTGACGGCTACGACGAGGTCAACAACCATTCAGGAAGGCTGGTGAAGGAGCTGTTGCACCTGCCTGGCAAGGATGTGAGGTTGGTGATAACCACACGGCCGGGGTGGGACCAACACCTGTCACAGCTCGTCCCACACACCAGACCTCGCTGCAACATCCTCGTCTTGGGCATCACTCCAGAACGTCGCAATGAGTTTGCCGAGAGAATCATCAACAGTCGAGTGCAGGAAGAGAACCAACGAAGTGTCATCAGAGAGAGGTTTACCCAGCGGCTGGAGCAGGTGAGTGAATACCTCAACACTCCACTCACCTTGACCTTGTTGGTGCTGCTGTGCATCGAGGCTCCAGAAGAATTTAACAATATCACAACAATTTCTCAGATGTATCAGAAGATTCACGACTTCATAACCAGCATACTGGTGTCCAGACTCACAGACAAACACGTGACCGACCCTAAAGGAAAATGTGACCAGTTTTTGTTGTTCTTTGAAGAGATTAGTTTAAGAGGGATCCAGAGGCAGGAGTACGACCTTTGGCCGGAGACGGAAGCGGAGATTAGGGAGAAGTGTGACACTCTGGGACTGCCGCAGGAGGAGGTCTTGTCCAATTATTTCACAAGAACCAGCTACCGTCGGGGCCTCAGTGTGGTGTGGGTGTTTGGCTATTTTCACACCAGGTACCAGGAGTATTGTGCTGGTAGGAGGCTGGTCACTCAGCTGATGTCAGAGGAAGAGCTCGGCGACCAGGGAAACACCAACCTCGTGCACAAAGTACTGCTGGAGGGACAAAATGTGGTTGATACATCCAGATACCAGAACATCTTGCTCAGTACTACCTGTGTGCTGAACGTTCGTGAATTGGAACAAAATTTCGCTTCTTGGATTATTGACCTTGTGTGGTGTAATGATCCTGAAGTGGATAACCTTTTAAAACACATAGTCGAGTCCCACAGCAACGAGCACATTATCAATGCTGTGTGTAAGAGGTTGCAAGATTGGAATTGTTGGAATATAAAGTGTGTTGATTCATGGGCCGTTCTCCCGCTTGTTCTCAAGAGAGTGAGACCTGATAGCGAAATCGTGCTGGAGATCGAAAGTAGTCTACAACCAAACCAACTAATGCCAGCATTGAGAGTTCTGATGACATTACCGATTACTGTAAACGTGCTTCTCTATGGTCACTACTATTGCAGAAATGACGATGACGATCTTTCAAACATATATTTAGAAACATTGACAGCTCCTGGCAGTAGGTGTACCTTAGAGAAGTTTGTGGGTCGATTGTCTGAGGCAGCCATACCCCACTTGCCTCCCACCCTCCGGAGCCTCGCCCTGCGCCTCACACTGCAGCAACTGCCCGTCCTCACACATCACCTGCCACTCCTTTGCCGTGTCACTGAACTAAGTAAATATTATTATTTTTATCCTTATAGTTTATTAGTAAACTGTAAAAAATAATCAATAAGATGTTTAAGCATCAGTTTTAATGTGTTTGACAATACATATGTTATTTATAGATAAAATAAATACTGAAATGGCAAAACCATCCAGAAATTATAAGCTTTCTAAACATCTGTTCCTAAATGTATTGTTATACATATTTCTACATTTTGTAACGAAGTTGTTCTGATCTTCAACTTTTAATGCTATTACCTCTTGCCTCATTTATTTTCCTCTTTTATTGACATTGAATCATCTTATGCTAATAAAAATATAGAAAACCGACACCATTACAGAGAGTAACTTCACATTATTTGGCACAACATAGATTTCATTTTAATAGTGCTTGATGCGGCACACTGAATCTAGATACCTCTTCCTCAACAATATTAACTGCATGGTTTCTGACTTCATAACATTTTAGTGTTAAAATACTAGCATCCCTCTTTTGATTTTTTTTATAATAGTACCAAAGTGTAAAGTCTGAATAATGCAATTTTGGAAAGCCTTCCATGGAAACACAAACCGAAACTGTCTCTATTTTCCGCTTGTTACAACTTGTAATAAAGCTGTTACATCTTGGCTTAACGTGTTTATGACGTATTAGAACGTTGTTACAACTTGCTATATTGGTTGTTATAACTGGTTAGGAGGTGTTAAAACTTGTTCGAACGTTGTACCAACGTCGTAGTTTCGGTGTGTGTTTGGTGGGTAATTGATTTGATTCGTCATATTCTTCATCCCTCAAGTTCTTTTGGAACACTACAGTATGCATTCCTGTTCTCTTGCAACTCTTACTTGCAGTTTAATTATAATTTTTACAGCTGAGATATATGCAATTTTATATGCTCTTATACAAATTTATATTACTGAAACAAATATCACTTATTATTGTTTGTTGACTCTGCATGCACCTTTCTGGCTATGAAATCCTTAAAATCCCATTACTATGGCTAAATATTGTGACGGAGTTCCCCCCCCCCTTATAATTCTCCCACGCCTGCAGTAAGAGTCATGTCTGCTTTTCCCAAGCGTTCTCTACGTTGCAGGCTACAATTTGATACATGGGAGAGAGTGAAGTGTTCTCGGAGAGCCGAGAAATTTGTGAAATAGTAATATTTTGGCCTGTGGTATAGGCCCTTTAGGGAGCCAAGATGGCGCTTACCTCCCTGATCTCCCGCCAAAACCGTGTGACGTCAGTGGCACCGGATTGGTCACCGGCAGCAGTGTGGCACCGGGAGCCAATGAAAACCTCCCATAGTAAAAGTGACGTCACGAAGGAAGGGGGTCCGGCCAGCGGGCCAAGCTGGCGCCAGCAGTCAGACACGACACGTCATAGAGGTCGGACGTGCGACGAGTGGTCCTGTCAGTCGGACAGTTATTCCAGCTCCCGTGGATTTACGCGTCATCGGAAGTCCGCCAGTACTCTGAGAAGTCTTCCCTAGTTCATGTGTTGAACCAGAAGAGGGAATTGACGGTTATTTGAGCAACAAGTGCTCCAGTCAGGTACTGTGCCAGTAGCAGTGAAGCCGTCCAGTGACGTATGTTGACGTCTGTGGCAATTCACCAGTTCGTGACAGCGTAGTGGCTGACAGAGCCACTGGGTAGCTGAGGAAGAGAGGACTATTTGGGGAACCGGACGACTGGAGCTGAGACGTAGGCGACAGCCGTTGCTGGGAGAAGACGTTGGCCAGGAGACCGACTCCAACCTTCAAGAAGTCAAGGAGGAGGACGGACCTGCAGTGAGGAGGCACGGAGACGACGCGCTAAACGGTGGGACGACGAGAGGCTCTGGTAGGACACGACGACGTGTAGTGTGGGGGCGTTCCCGACACGAGGACCAGGAGCTACATCTCGACTCTCATCGGAGGATAGGGGTGAAGTAGGTGGTTCTAGTTCCCTCCCCATTCCCCTTTAGTTAGCTATGTTATTTGGCTATATTTTCTAGCCTGAGGATTTTATATGTCGTGAGCAAGTCTCACCCATGTCATGGTAAAGCACCAGTGTGCTAGACAGTACTATCAAGAGTACTTGTAATATTCATGTTGATTATTGGTGTGTACAGGCACCAGGAACCAGTGATAAATTTACTGTGTTGTGTATATCTTTCTATAGATTTTGATATGAACATATAGTGGTAAAATATATATAAGATTATGCCAGTATTTGGAGGTTAGGCTATGTGCCCAGAAACTATTTATTTTCCATGTATTGATGATTGATTTATATACCATATATATGTCTATGTTCATTCAGTGAATAATCGTTTGTGAGTACAGTGAATTATTGCGTTATCGCCAACGAGAGAAAATACTGAAAACTCCAGTGTTAATAGTTCATAATATATTGTTGAGTGAAGAACAATGTGAAGCCATTACAGTGAATCATTATAGCATTGATTGTAGAAAAGACTGTTTGAGCCCGAGTACAGTGTAACTGAGTAATCCGGTTTATTTAGCCAATATCGAGTGTGCGAGTTTCTAGTAATATTGGAGAATTTAACGAAACAGCGAATCTAGAAAACAAGCAAAGTTCGCGCGGAGAGGCCATTGCGATCAGCTGTTCTTGACACTTGATGAGGAAGGGAGATGTTGCCACCTTATGATCACATAATATCCGTGGGAATTATCGGCCGCGTCAGGATCAGTTGATTAATTGATTATTGTTTGGCTTTGTGACATCTTTCATACATTTTAAGTAAAATACAAAACTCTCTTTGTGTTTTTATCATCCCCTCCATTGATCTTGTGGCTATACTATACCTGTAAGCATAGAGTGATAACAATAAGTACCTGCCTGATTCCTGATCTTTGAGTATGACCTTGCCAAGGCTACCACTGAATACACCAGTCCACTGATGGTGTTACTGGCCACCTTAAACACCAGTTGGCGATCTTGTGAATAACCGTAGAGCCCTATTGTTGGGGAGGGCACACGACAGTCGATGTGATCGAGTCGTGTTCTCACTCTTTCTTAATAAGAGGCCGTTAAGATTGACTGGGAGACTCTCCTGGCGTGCAGTGGCGCCGTGAGGATCGAGGGAAGACCCGCAGGGCTACGGTGAGTTACCTTGAGCATAACTATTGCTCACCCCAGAGTATGGGTAGAGAATAATAGAGAGGTGAAACCCCAACATTGGCGACCTTGCCAGGATATAGATCGAAGTAAAGGTTGCAGTGGTGGTACTTGGCAGTGGTGTTAGATCAGGTGAAGGTTATCATTCATAGCACAAGATGGAGGATGATAAAGTAACCAGGTTTATTGACTCTAGAGACGAACAGGTGCTGGAAGAGTGCACCAAGGCACAGTTACAGGCTATAGCGGATCATTTTGGAATAAAGCTGAAATCTGCCCGAGTTGGTGAAAGAAGACTAGAGATAATGGCTCAGCTAAAGGCTCGAGACGAAGCTTTGGGGGAGGAACGGCCCCAAACACCTGCCAGTGAGGGTGAACACTTGAGTATTGGTGGAAGCAGCAGGGGATCCAGCGGCAGCAGGCACAGCATTAAGCTGGAAATAATGAAGCTGCAGCTAGAGGCACAGCAGCGCAAAGAAGAGCTAGAGGCACAGCAGCGCAAAGAAGAGCGAGAGGCACAGCAGCGCAGAGAAGAGCGAGAGGCACAGCAGCGCAAAGAAGAGCGAGAGGCACAGCAGCGCAAAGAGGAGCGAGAAGCAGAAGCACAGATGAAGTGTGAGGAGCGAGAAGCACAGATGCAGCGTGAGGAATGAGAAGCACAGCGGCGCAGGGAAGAACACGAGCGAGAAGCACAACTACGCAGGGAAGAACACGAGCGAGGGCTGAGACAACAGGAAATAGAAGCCAACAAGGAGGTGGAGCTGAAGCGAGATGAACTGGGACTAGGTGCCCCTGCCCCGCCACAGGAAGACCGACGAGTGAGGGAACGAGACCTGCCGGTCTTTGTGCCTAGTGAAGCCGAAAGTTTCTTCAATCACTTTGAGAGAGTTGCTGCTATGAAGAGGTGGCCGAGGGCGGAGTGGGCGGAGTTGGTCCAAGGGAGGCTCACAGGTGAAGCTCGTGAAGCCTTCACTATGCTCGACTTCCAAGAATGCACTAACTACGATGCGGTAAACGAGCTGTGCTCCGTTCCTTTAAGCTCACGCCAGAGTGTTACAGAAAGAGGTTTAGAGAATGTACCCGGTTGCCAGGAAAATCGTATGCGGAGACAGCGAGGGACATGGAAAGAAAGTTCCTTAAGTGGTTGGACTCTGAAGAAGCGGGGTCGGCCAAAGAGGTCAAGGAACTAATGGTCATGGAAAAGTTTATGTCCGTGCTCTCTCCTGAGATCAGGATGAGGATAAAGGAGGCGGACATAAAGAACCTGAGGGCCGCAGCCGACCGGGCCGACATGTTAGAAGACGCCCTACGCCCACGCCGAGAGGGACAGAACCGACCACCCGCATACGTCGGAAACGATCGGAGTTATAGAAGGACGGATGGATGGAGGACAGGAACGAGTTCTCCCAAGTCCCATTTCTCAAGTTGGAACACCCGAGGAACAAAAGGTGTTGTAGAGCCGATAAGGGAGAACCAAGCTGAGAGCTCGGGAACTGTTACTGCAGGGAAAGAAACGACAAGTGAGGCGGGAAAGACACAGGGTGTGACGGTCTCTGGAGGCAGTGCTAAGGCGAGCGGTGGCGGATGGTCTCCGCCGAGGGGCCGCTGCTACAACTGCGGAATACCCGGACACGTCGCGCGGGAGTGCAGACGCCCGAAGCAGCGGGGACACGTTGCTTTAGTGATGTTCGAGGACCAGAGGGCCGAGGGAGTGCGGGATGAACCCGTGCTAAATGGGGAGAAGAAAGTTCACCCATTCATGTGTCAAGGAACCGTAAGGATGGGGGTCGCAGACCCCATCCCAGTGAAGATGCTAAGAGACACCGGGGCTGACTTTACCCTGGTAAGTGAAACCCTGTTCCCCGAGGGTTACGAAAGTACCAGTGTGGGGGTGGCACGGGTGGCCACTGTGGGAGGCCCAGTGAGGATGCCCCTACACCAGGTAACTTTAAATTCCGAATATGGCTGCCAGACCCTAGAGGTGGGAGTCTGTACATCAATGCCCAAGATGGAGGCGCAGGTCATCTTGGGGAATGACGCGTGTGGAGGATATGTCCTCCCGCATCTCGTGAAAGGCGAAGAGTGCCCAGAACAACACGAGGAGACAGGCGAAGATTTGAACGCCTGTGGGGACGAGAGGGGAATCGCACCGGTGGCGATCCCCGTTTGTACTGTGACACCGAGGCAACGCGAAGAACCAGGAGGTGGTGGATCTGATGGGGCTGAGGAGTCGACTGACAGCCTAGGAACAGATCACCTCTGCGTAGAACCCAGAGAACGAGTGGAGGGCGAAAGTAGCCCGAATGGTGAGTTGCAGGTGACCCTCACCAGTTCTCCAGGGGTAAGCCGCACTCGTCCCGGAGAGTTACAGCAGGGGGAGGTCCCCGAATTGGTTAGTAAGGCCGAAGGAGGACGTGTGGGTCCTGAGAAGGCTTACTTTCCATTTATCTATATTATATATACCATGCTATCCATGATGAAGGAACGATGGACACTAGGAGCGACCGTGGGAACGGTGAATAAATATGTCCAGAAGTTCAAAGAACATCTCACTAGAGCGAAGAAACTGGCTAGGAAACTCCTGAAGAAGGCGCAACGTAAGATGTCGGAGTGGTACGACAGGAGAGCTGCGCAGAGGGATTTTCAGGCCGGATCCAAAGTAATGGTTGTGCTGCCAGGTAAAGGTAGAGTGACCAGGTCGCGGTTCAAGAGACCATACCGAGTGCTGCGACGGTTGGGTCCAGTGTCGTACGAGATTGGGAAGCCGGATGGACCCCGGAAGAAACAGGTGTGTCACGCAGGCCGGCTGAGACCTTTCTTCAATGTGGAAGGAAGAGCCGCCAAGCAGGACGGAACGAATACCCGAGAAACCCAGCGGAAGACGGG